AGTGCTTTTGTATGGTCTGTCATCTGCATCAAATCGTGACGTCCATAAAATAACATTTTGGAGTGAGCCGTATAAATATAGTAAAACAAAGCATTGCTTTTTTTGGTATAATCACATCTTCACACCATTCTAATTTTCAGATCCATGTGCTAGCAACCAATGTCAGAACGGAGGACTTTGTAATCCATCTCCGGGACCAAGTCTTCCCTACACCTGTAACTGTCCAGTTGGATTTACCGGCATATTCTGTCAAACAGGTATTAGATCATAAGTATCTTGTCCATTGTTTGTTTATATATGTATATTTTTGTATTTACCTTTCTATATAGGTCCAAGCATGAGTCAACCATCGCATCCCCTATTTTCATGATATTGGCGATGGCCAGTTTGTTTCTCTTTTCTCTTTTGGGGGTGTTGTTAGGTGTGTGGTGTTTTTTTTGCTTGACTTGTTTACACATTTTTAGAAATACTGTGCTTTCCTGGATACGCCTCGGTTGGAATGTAGAAATACCTCTGAATACCACTTATTGTCTCCTTTTTTAGTGATCAGTTTCTGCAAAGGGCAAAATAAATGTTGTCTAATTTTGACGTATTTTTTATATTACACTAATTGAATTAATTATTTGAATGGGAAACAAAATTCTGTATAGGCTTGTTCTTGCTGTCCCTCTCATACTTAATCCAAATGTATACTTTGTTATTAATTTTTCTTGTGAATTTTATCCTCTGTATCATGTTGATTTATGAATGTTTGCACGTGTTTTCTGGATTTTTATGAGCAAATAAATTGAAATTGAAATTGAATTGATATATTCAGAAAATAGTGTGAGTGTGATATGGCATCAAACATTTTTTTAAAACCAAAACTGAACACAAAAAAGGTAAATTTTGAAGAAAAAAATGTACATGTATATTGCTATTTATGATGTATGATCTTAAATAAATCATGACATTAAATAAATGAATCTTTTAAAGTTAGGCGTATAAATACAAAAAGACACACTCATTGTTTGGGGTAATCGCAAATTCATACCATTTTCGGCTTCAGATCCATGCGCTGGGAGCCAATGTCAGAACGGAGGAACTTGTAATCCTACTCCGGGACCCAGTCTTCCCTATACGTGTAACTGTCTAGCTGGGTATACCGGCATATTCTGTCAAACAAGTATGATATCAGAAGTTTCATATCCATCGATTTTTGTCTATGTCCATGTATATTTTTGAAAACACTAGCGGATAGAGGTACCCAAGTGGTATATTTTTCGTATATAGAGGCCAAATAAACGAGCCCGCCACCCCAATTCTCGATGGCCTTTTTTTCTTAAAAAAAAATAATTCTTTGTTGTTGTTGTTGTCGTCGTTGTTGCATGTCAACAAATATTAGGATAGGAATATTGTATTCTCTCTTATAATATCTTGCATCAGCCTCTGGTTGAATTTACAAATAAATCTGAATTTCATTTATTGTCTCCTCTTTGATTTTTGTATTGAATTTGTTTTTATTTGTGAATAGACATGTGCATGAGAAATCCGTTATAATATATTGATTCTGCCGAATGGCAGAATCAATATCGACCAATCGGTTGACGTATTCGTTTTGATGTATATTAATTGTATCGGATATAGTGCTTTTGTATGGTCTGTCATCTGCATCAAATCGTGACGTCCATAAAATAACATTTTGGAGTGAGCCGTATAAATATAGTAAAACAAAGCATTGCTTTTTTGGTATAATCACATCTTCACACCATTCTAATTTTCAGATCCATGTGCTAACAACCAATGTCAGAACGGAGGACTTTGTAATCCATCTCCGGGACCAAGTCTTCCCTATACATGTAACTGTCCGGTTGAATTTACCGGCACATTCTGTCAAACAGGTATCATGTCAAAAGTATCATGTCCATTGTCTGTTTATATGTATATATATATATATATATATATATATATATTCATATATTTACCTTTCCTACATAGGTCTGAGAATGAGTCAACCCCCACATCCACTATTTTCACGATAAAGGCGATGGCTAGTTTTGTTATCTTTTCTCTTTTGGGGGGTGTTATTAGGTTTTTTGTTGTTGCTTGTCTCCAACTTTAGGATTACTGTGCTTTTCTGGATACACCTCGGTTGGAATGTACAAATAACTCTGAATACCATTTATTGTCTTCTCTTTGATTTTTGTTAAGATAATGTTATTTGTGAATACCTATCGAAATGGGAAATCAGTAATCAGTTTCTGCATAGGGCGAAATAAATTTTGCCTAATTTTGACGTATTTTTTATATTACACTAATTGAATTAATTATTTGAATGGGAAACGAAATTCTGCATAGCTTCATTGATATATTCAGAAAATAGTGTGAGTGTGATATGACATCAAACATTTTTTTTAAACCAAAACTGAACACAAAAAAAATGTACATGTATATTGCTATTTATGATGTATGATCTTAAATTAATCATGACATCCAATAAATGAATCTTTTAAAGTTAGGCGTATAAATACAAAAAGACACACTCATTGTTTGGGGTAATCGCAAATTCATACCATTTCGGCTTCAGATCCATGCGCTGGTAGCCAATGTCAGAACGGAGGAACTTGTAATCCATCTCCGGGACCAAGTCTTCCCTATACGTGTAACTGTCCTGTTGGATTTACCGGCATATTCTGTCAAACAGGTATCATATCAAAAGTTTAATGTCCGTTATCTGTTTATATATGTAGATTTATATATTTCCCTCGCGTAAATAGGTCCAAGAATGACTCAACCCTCGCATCCACTATTTTGATGATTAAGGTGATGGCCGGTTTTGTTATCTTTTCTCTTTTGGGTGCTGTGTGGGCAGTGTGGCTGTTGTTTTTTCTTTCCTTTTTTACTTCTCAACAAACTTTTAGGAATACTGTGCTCCCTCTTATCTAAATTCTTGGATACGCCCCGGTTGGAATGTTCAAAGTAACTTGAATTCTATTTAATGTATCTTCTTTGTTCTGTGTTAAAAAACTTTATTTTGTCAATGGGAAATCAGTTATAATATCGCTTTCTGCCAAAGTGGGAAATCAATATTGTCTAATCTGTTGACGTATCGTGTATATTACATTAATTTTATTAAGTAATGGAATGGGAAAATCAATATCCGTAAAGCTTCATAGAGATTCAGAAAATAAAGTGAGTGAAATATGACCTCGAACTTTTTCACCCGAAATTGAACAAAGAACTGTTAATTTTGAAGAAAGATTTTTTTAACGAACTTTCATCTTCACCAAATCTTGATGTCCATGATATAACTTTATAGAGTTATGCGTATACTGAAAAAGAATATTCCTTTTTGGTATCATCGTATCGTCACACCATCTTCAGGTACGGATCCATGTGCGATTAGCCAATGTCAGAACGGAGGACTTTGTAATCCTACTCCGGGACTAAGTCTTCCCTACACGTGTAACTGTCTAGCTGGGTATACCGGCATTCTCTGTCAAACAGGTATGACTCTTTTATTATCACCCCCGTGTAAATTTTATCTTTAAAAAGGTACTTCAATTATATGATTAAATTAACAATTTATTAAAACTTGGGTCACTTTGAACCTCCATACTAATACGTTCCCTGACACGACACGTGTGCACCTCCATCGAACCGACATGCAAGTTGGTATAACCCTTCATTGCTGACGGATGAGACGTCTCCTTAATCATCTTCGTCTGTGTGCTCACAATAATTTGCAAATAATGTCTACATCTTTTATTACCAGCTTCGGATCTCTGTGCTAACAACCAGTGTCAGAACGTAGAATCTTGCAGTCCTATGCCGGGTTTCAACCCTCCATATTTCTGTAATTGTCAACCTGGGTATCAAGGACAGTTCTGCCAAATAGGTTTGTTTGTTTCTTTCTACATTTCAATCGTCCTTCTGAGGATAAATATCACACACATTTTCTTGTATGTGTCTCCTTTTTTGTTGTTGCGTAACGTCAACAATTTAACAAAAAGATATACATAGAAGAATACCAAACATATCAGAATAATGCCGCCTGAACCTTCTACCTTCTATAGAACTTTTCAGACATCCCAGTAAACCGAAAGCCCACTTGACCGACAATGTGGTCATAGCTTCTTGATTATGCACCGTGTATCTCATATTTATATCTCCGTTCGGGGCATCCAAGTAGACCACGACAGCCGACGGGACCTAAATTGTTGGCCATGGGCTGTCGGTCTTGTGGGCTTTCAATCTCATATATCTCTAAGGCTGCGGAACGCTACCATTTCAATATATTGTGACTGACGTTATGAATGTTATATATGGATATGTTATTCATGTTTCCTTCCTTAACATGTTTTTACAACTACACATTTTGGTCGCACTTATATATATTTCTTCTAGCTTTAGATTCATGTGCAAGTAGCCAATGTCAGAACGGAGGAACTTGTAATCCTTCTCCGGGACCCAGTCTTCCCTACACGTGTAACTGTCTTGCTGGGTTTACAGGCATATTATGTCAAACAGGTATGCCTTTTATTCGTACTCAGCATCTTTTCATAAAAATGCCGTTTCTCTCATTTTGTTCAACCCTATTCTAGTATTTTAAAGTAGGAGTTATATTTTTAGTCAATGTTGTCGTTTTCATGTGAATGATACTTCTATATAAGGGCATACAGATATAGATCATAAAGGTCAAAAGCGTCTGTTGATAGGCACTGACAATTTGCACGATATAGACCCTGAAAATCGTTCGTACGGCGTTTGTAGGTAGTTTGTAATGGCATTTGTGACCGAGGCTTAAATTGTTAGTCATGGGCTGTCCGTCCTTTGGGCTTTCGGGACCATGTACCGTCAGTCTCTAAGGCTGCAGAACGCTAAAATTTCATTATATTGTGACTGACGTAATGACTTTATGAATATGTTATTCATGTTTCCTTCCATAACACGTTTTTTAAAAAGACACATTTGGTCGCAATTATATAAATTTCTTCTAGCTTTAGATTCATGTGCAAGTAGCCAATGTCAGAACGGAGGAACTTGCAATCCTTCTCCGGGACCCAGTCTACACTACACATGTAACTGTCTATCTGGGTATACCGGCATTCTCTGCCAAACAGGTATGACTTATTTATTATCAGCTTCATGTGATTTTTAATACACTTCAATTATAATATTATTCAATTAGCAATTTGTTGAAACTTGGATCACCTTGAGCTTCGATACTATTACTTTTCCTGACACATGAGCACTCTATATCGAACAGAAATGCAAGTTGGTATAACCCTTCATTGCTGATGAGACGTCTCTGTGTGCTCACAATCATTTTCAAATAATGTCTACATCTTGTATTACCAGCTTCGGATCTCTGTGCTAACAACCAGTGTCAGAACGTAGAATCTTGCAGTCCTATGCCGGGTTTCAACCCTCCATACTTTTGTAATTGTCAACCTGGGTATCAAGGACAGTTCTGCCAAATAGGTTTGTTTCTTCCTATATTTCAATCGTCCTTCTGAGCATAAATATCACACACATTTTCTTGTATGTGTCTCCTTTTTTGTTGTTGCTTAACGTCAAAAGATTAACAAAATGATATACATATAAGGGTACCAAACATTTCAGAATAATGCCGCCTGAACCTTCTACCTCCTATAGAACTTTTCAGACATCCCAGTAAACCTAAAGCCCACCTGACCGACAATGTCGGTCACAAGGGTCGTCTGTTTCGCGGGCTTACGGTCTAGTGGGCTGTGGCCGGAACGTTGCTCTGCATTTGTCAAAGGCTACATGCCGAAAGATAGACGATGTAGGCCCTATTTACCGTCAACATTTCAATGTATTTCGACTGTCGTAAAGAGTTTCAAACCCCATATACATAAAGAACCCATGTTTCATTCTTTATCATTTTTGTTTATTATACATTTTTTGGTCGCACGTACATACATTATGCACCGTGTATCTCATATTTACCTCCGTTCGCGGCATCCAAGTAGACCACGACAGTCGACGGGACCTAAATTGTTAGTCATGGGCTGTCGGTCTTGTGGGCTTTCAGTACCATGTACCGTCAGTCTCTAAAAGGCTGTAGAACGCTAACATTTCAATATATTGTGACTGACGTAATGACTTTATGAATGTGTTATTCATGTTTCCTTCCATAATACGTTTTTTATAATAACACATTTGGTCGCTATTACATAAATTTCTTCTAGCTTTAGATTCATGTGCAAGTAGCCAATGTCAGAACGGAGGAACTTGTAATTCTACTCCGGGACCCAGTCTTCCGTACACGTGTAACTGTCTAGCTGGGTACACAGGCCAGCTCTGTCAAACAGGTATGACTTGTTTATTATCAGCTCCATGTGGTGTTTAATACACTTCAATTATATGATTCAATTAGCAATTTGATGAAATCTGGATCACCTTGAGCCTCGATACTATTACGTTTCCTGACACGTGAGCACTCTATCGAACCGAAATGCAAGTTGGTATAACCTTACATTGCTGATGAGACGTCTTCTTTAATATCTTCGTCTGTGTGCTCACATTTTCAAAATAATGTCTACATCTTTTATTACCAGCTTCGGATCTCTGTGCTAACAACCAGTGTCAGAACGTAGAATCTTGCAGTCCTATGCCGGGTTTCAACCCTCCATACTTCTGTAATTGTCAACCTGGATATCAAGGACAGTTCTGTCAAATAGGTTTGTTTTTCCTATTTCTGCTTTTGATTAATTATATTTCAATCGTCCTTCTGAGTACAAATATTAAACACATTTTCTTGTATGTTTCTCTCTTCATTTTTTTTTGTTGCTTAACGTCCAAAATTTAATAAAATAATATACAAAGTGTCCAAAACATTTCAGAACAATGCCTCCTGAACCTTCTACCTCCTATAAAACTTTTCAGATATCCCAGTAAACCTAAAGCCCACATGACCGACAATGTCGGTCACAAGGATCGTCTGTTTCGCGGGCTTACGGTCTCGTGGGCTGTGGCTGGAACGTTGCTCTGCATTTTTCAAAGGCCACATACAGTAAGATAGACGATGTAGGCCCTACACTATATAATGGGCAAAAAAATGCCCAAGTTTTACCCAACATGAGGGCGATTATGTGTCCAACTAACTGTTGGGTAAATTAAAGATTGTGCATGATTTACCCAGTGTTGGATAAAAAGAAAATACCCAACTTTTAACCAACAAAAATTACCCTATCAGAAATATGCCGAATTCTCACCATAATAGGTAGCATTAGTTAGACACTAGTTGGGTAAATAAGTTGGATAAAATATTATATGCAAAAGGAGATTAGTGCCGCTGCGGGTTTTGAACCGCGGACCTCGTAGTCCATAGTCCTGTGACATATCCACTCGACCACGACTCCTCTAACATAATAACATAACCCTATTGTTGGATAATAATGTTGCCCGACTTACGTTTGCCCAGTTACATCTGCCCAACTTATTTTGAACATTTAATTGGATAAATAAATGTAGTAAATGGTTGGGAGAAAATAACGCAAATGTTGGACAAAAATGGCCCAACTCTAATTTGCCCAATAACATTACCCAACCTATTTTTTTACTTTCATTAGGTAACTTTATATAGTAAACGGTTGGGAGAAAATAACTTCTTCTAGCTTCTTGATTATGCACCGTGTATCTCATATTTACCTCCGTTCGGGACATCCAAGTAGACCACGCCAGTCGACGGGACCTTAATTGTTGGTCATGGGCTGTCGGTCTTGTGGGCTTTTAGGACCATGTACCGTCAGTCTCTAATGCTGCAGAAAGCTAACATTTCAATAAATTGTGACTGACGTAGTGACTTTATGAATATGTTATTCATGATTTCCTTCCATAACACGTTTTTTTATAACGACACATTTAGTCGCAATTATATAAATTTCTTCTAGCTTTAGATTCATGTGCAAGTAGCCAATGTCAGAACGGAGGAACTTGTAATCCTTCTCCGGGACCCAGTCTTCCCTACACGTGTAACTGTCTAGCCGGGTATACCGGCGTAGTCTGTGAAACAGGTATACCTTTTATTCGTACTCAGCATCGTTTCATAAAAATGCCGTTCCCCTCATTCTGCACAACCTTATTCTAGTATTTTAATTCCAATTTAAGTCAATACTATCGTTATAATGTGAATGATACTTCTATATAAGGGCATACAGATATAGATCATAAAGGTCTAGAGCGTCTTTTTATAAGCACTGACGACTTGCACAATATATAGAACCCTTTACAATCATAATGCTAAATCGATGTTTTTTTCTTCTTCAAAGAGTCAGTCTTTCAAAAGAATGAATAGTGAGCCAAATATTTAATAATTAAACTTTACAATTTCAGTTGTAATTGAATTTCTATGACATCTTTAATTTTCTTATAACAGTAATAGATTTGTTATAGCCCTGTCAGGTTGAACAGCAATTTTACGTTGAAACGCAGTGCATCGACTCTGTTGCTTTTTAACTTATTTATTTTGGGTATATGTTTCCAGCTGTGGATCTCTGTGCCAATAACCAGTGTCAGAACGGAGGATCTTGCAGTCCTTTCCAAGGTTCCAACCCTCCATACATCTGCAGTTGCCCATTGGGATTTGGTGGACAGTTCTGCCAATCAGGTTTGTTTCTTCATATTTCATAATGTGAAAGAGGATGTCATTTAAGACTTATTTCAGCAAGGATTTTCAAAAGAAATGTATTTGAAGTCGAATAATGATGGAAAAATACGAAATGTAGGCTTTTTGCATGCGTACAACAGAAAACTCAATTACAAAAAATATTCCATCTTAATGGGCAACATTGTAATTAAATTAAATTTCTCTTTTGTTTGCTTTATCTTTTCACATACATCATTTAAGTTGTGAATCCATGTGCTGGTAGCCCATGTCAGAACGGAGGAACTTGTAATCCTACTCCGGGACCCAGTCTTCCCTACACGTGTAACTGTCTAGCTGGGTATACCGGCGTACTCTGTCAAACAGGTATGCTATTAATCGGTACTCGTTTTAATTAAACATGTATAATAGCTTTGTCCATACATTTCATATAATGTTTACTTTGTCACAACTTCCATTTCTATTCTCACTATAATTGCATCTAGAAAAATTAGTAAATCTATATATTTTTCTTGATATTAATGAAACTATATTTCTATGCCTTCCTTACCTCGGCAACTGCGAAAGTGTTCATATGTGCTTGAGAGAAATTAAATGAAACAATGACTCATATAAACGTTCATATAATAACACAGACTAAACCATTATGCTGCATATTTTAATAATGAATGATGAACTGAGATCTTGACACACAAAATATGCTAGCTGTACAATTAATTGCATCACCAATGCCAAGACTGTTGAAATCAAGAATGTTTAAGACTGGATATTTGTCAACCAGTGTCTGAACGGAGGATCGTGTAATTCTTTCCCCGGTTTCAACCCTACATACTTCTGTATTCGATCAGAGATTGGTGGACAGTTCTTCCAACAGGTTTGCTTCATCGCGTTTCTCATTCCAGTGCACGCAAACCTGGCATGTCGGAGTAGGAATATAACAGACACTTTAAATACGAAACGAGAGATGTAACAGATGTTATTTGGTCATGTACATTTTAAGCGTAGTAAAGACAAATGTATGTACACGTTTCTTCATTTTCTTCTCCAGCGATGAAAATAAACTCTACAAGTACTTATTGAGAGTAAATAAGTTCTTGTGTTTCATGTAAGATAATTTTGTTTGGTTTGTCCTAACTCTAAATATCCTTTTCAGTTGTAGATCCATGTGCTGGTAGCCAATGTCAGAATGGAGGAACTTGTAACCCTTCTCCGGGATCAAGTCTACCCTACACGTGTAACTGTCTAGCTGGGTACACAGGCCAGCTCTGTCAAACAGGTAGGCCTTTCAGATTTGAATCCATGAATCAAATGATTGTTGGACCTTTTAAAAGGATCATTATACATCATGTGTTACAACGCTGGTATATCAGTGTATATCAGACTTTACCGTTGTTGATATTTTTAGCGTTTTTAAGGGCATAGGTCCCCTAGTTGATAAGCATAGTAGCATACACATGCTTTAGCAGTCACGCAAAACACACATTGGCAAATTATTGTTCAATAAAATTTGAGAATGTATACTATTATCTAGATCTATTATTTTCAAATAATTTTTTTAATAATTCCATAAATTGGGATTAAAAAAAAACATTCCACCTTTATGAGCGACAGTGTATATAGGCTGTGTTCTCACCATCATTTTCAATTCTTTTTACGGTCTATTTTCTATTACCAGCTCTGGATCTCTGTGCCAATAACCAGTGTCAGAACGGAGGATCTTGCAGTCCATTTCCAGGTTCCAACCCTCCATACTTCTGTAATTGTCAGCCTGGGAATACCGGCCAGTTCTGTCAAACAGGTTTGCTTCTTCAAAATTTGACCCAATTAGAGATAGCTTTTGCAAAATTAAACAAATACGTAAAAATCAAATAATAAGCGTATCGAATTTAAAGGCATTATTTCCGGAAAATACGTGATATGGATTTCTAAAGCAGTCAAAATACTTATTTTTTTCATCATACAAAATAACCAATATGATTAGATCTGTTCCCATGATCTAGTGGTTAAGGCATTTGTCGCACAGAGCCAGAGACCTGACTTCGATTCCAGGCGTTATTTCTGCGAAAAGGAAGACAGAAAGCAGGAGCAATGAATTTAAAGCTATGCATATAATATTTCCCTCATCCAATCTATGTTTCCACATCCTATACGTGTGCGTGTATGTGCGTATGTTTGTGTGTAATAGTTTATATCATGAATGTCAATTTGCTTGATTTAATCTATACCCTCTTCTCATGTAAATCATCTCAGGTACTGATCTGTGTGGTAATAACCAATGTCAGAATGGAGGAACTTGTAACCCTTTTCCGGGATCCGATCCTCCCTACACTTGTAACTGTCTATCTGGGTATACCGGCCAGTTCTGTCAAACAGGTACTTTTATCACGATTAAATCTACATGATTATAATGAACATAGGTCGGATATCTGGATGGAGATTCTTTTACGCAGACTAAAAATATATAATGTTACGAAATCTTGTAGCAATTTCCCTTAGTTTAAATAACCTAAAAGTTATGCATATATTATTTCCCTCATCCAATATATGTTTCCACATTATATACTTGTGCGTGTGTGTGCGTGTGTTTGTAATTATTAGTTTATATCATGAAGATGTAAATTTGCTTGATTTAACCTATACCCTCTTCTCATGTAAATCATCTCAGGTACTGATCTGTGTGGTAATAACCAATGTCAGAATGGAGGAACTTGTAACCCTTTTCCGGGATCCGATCCTCCCTACATTTGTAATTGTCTATCTGGGTATACCGGCCAGTTCTGTCAACCAGGTTTGTCACACTTTGATCTACATATTGATTGTAATGAGCATCGGTCGGATATCTGTATAGAGATTCATTTATGCATACGGAAAATCTTTAATGTTAAGAAATCTTGAAGCAATTTCCTTTAGTTAAAATAAGCTTCTTCAAAATATTTCCCTTTAAACTCTTTAATATACAAAAAATGAAGGGTTTATTAAGAGTTTGAAAGAATCTGTATTATATCCATGTGATCAGTTCTGTGCTGTCTCATTTCGAGACACATACAAAACAGCTCAGTAGAAAAATGTTACTTTATCAGTAGGTTAGTAGAATTAGGATATAGTTGTATTAACGTGATATAACATGATCCTAACTAATTGCAATAGATCAACCAAGTGCAATATTGCAATCCTATTGTATAGCCTATATAAATCATGTTCGGATCATGTAATATGGTATTGAAAAGATTCAAATGACGGACAAGGCTATGGTGTCTTGAATGGTCTTTGGGATCGTTGTTTATGACTACGTGAAAATAACTTTCCTTGACTTTACTTTCATCTCGTCATTTACTTATCTCTTCTATCTACAGATCCATGTGCTAGTAGCCCATGTCAGAACGGGGGAACCTGTAACCCTTCTCCGGAACCAAGTCTTCCCTTTACATGTAACTGCCAAGTTGGGTACACAGGCCAGCTGTGTCAATCAGGTCGGATATCGGTTCTAACACATTCGCTCCGGGGTTTATTTCGTGAAGTACAGTGTAGGGTTAGGGTTGGAAGTGCAATCGGGTTAAAGGATAGGATAAGGGTTAGCGTTAGGATTAGGTATATAGTGTTGGGTCAAGGCTTGAAGTTAGGAACTCGGTTTGTTTATGGATTTACCGCGTTAGCCGGATTATAACTATGGTGTTGGGTCCTGGGTTGGGTCGACTTATCTACTCTTAAGTCCTTTTGGGGCAATTGAGAGTGTGTTTGAAATTGCAATATCTTTGTATAGAAATAAAATAGGATCTCTTCTCTACAATTAAGCATACAGAGCAATTTTGTGGCCCACAAAATCGACCCCTACTGGGGGTTGATTAGTACACTTTATATATAGCCTGCACCTCACGGTTACTTCTATCACATGTTCACGCTTATCTTCAGCCATACCGTCGTGAAATTTAAAGATAAACCACTCAAAATCGCGATTTCATAATAGAAGCCGTATCATCGATGGAAGACAGTAATTATAACTGTATTTTTTACAATGAAAAAAAACCCCTGAGTTGTGACTGATTATCATATTACTTTTCATCCATTACTATTTTTAGATCTATGCGCTGATAACCAGTGTCAGAACGGAGGATTTTGCATTCCTTTCCCAGGTTCCAGCCCTCCATACTTCTGTAACTGTCCAGGAGGGTATAACGGTCAATTCTGTCAAACAGGTAATATAAATGTCGCCACATTGCATTCTATTACAATATCAATATTCAGCCAACTGAACCAATATAATTAAGACAGTTTACAACAGAAAATCATTTCTTGATATCAAAAAATAGGAATAAATGTTAAAACGGTTTGCCACGGACACGCATGATAAGTGGACGTTCATGCCGTTCTCGTCCACTCAATCTAAAAGTCCGTAATATTGCTGATACAAGGATTTGAAACCTGTACATTGTGGTTAATATAGTCCGAAGACTGGACCACAACGCCCCTACATTCATTTCTGTATGGATATAAGAATACCACGCACATCCCTTTCTATACTATCTACCACCTGGTTATAGCGGCCAATACTGCCAAACAGGTTTGCTCCTTCATACTTCAATATAGTGATTCAATAGCAGATTTTCATCATGGATCTGTTCAAAAATACCACACACACGACCACACGCGCACCCACACACGCACTCACACACACACACACACCCACACACACAAACACACAAACACACAAACATTATCATCATCTCCTGCATCTATCACTCGGACTCCAAAAATATACTGTAATAACTTTTATTTGATGATGAAACAGAGACACTGTGATTTTAGATCACTTTTTCAATACCGTACGTACGACACCATGCATAACAAGAGATTCATGATAGGTTGCACATTAGTCATGAAATCCAGGTGTTGGATTTCGTTTTTCTAGTTCTATCGAACTACTAGTGAAACTCGTTTAATATATAGAAGAAAAGTTTTTAAAAAAAAGTTATTTTCGAAACATTTTAATTCAGGCTAATCAGAGATAGCAAAAAAATGAAATCTGTTTACGATATTGAGTACGTACATGTGTGTGTCAAGGGATGGAGACCTACTTTAATTTGAATACACAGACTTCACCCTCTAAACAGCAGAATAATAAATTCATTTATATAAATGTTACGAATTACGAATGTTAATTTATTGAATTTAAAGCCCCACTGTCCTACTTTAAACTCTTTAATATAAAACAAATTAAGGGTTTATTAAGAGTTTGAAAGAACCCGTACAATATCCACGTGATCAGTTGTGTGCTGTCTCATTTCGAGACACATACAAAACAGCTCAGTAGAAAATATTACTTTATCAGATGAAAACCAATAGGTTAATAGAAAGTATTAACATGATATAACATAATCCTAAATAATTGCAATAGATCAACCAAGTGCAATATCGCTACCCTATTACATAGCCTATATAAATCATGTTCCAAATATAATATGCTATTAAAAAGTTAGCACATTTCAAATAACGGACAAGGCTATGATGTCTTGAATGGTCTATGGGATCGTTGTTTATGATTACGTGAAAATAACCTTCCTTGGTTTAACTTCTATTTCGTCGTTTACTTAACTCTTCCAGCATTAGATCCATGTGCCAGTAGCCCATGTCAGAACGGGGGAACCTGTAATTCTCCGGGACCAAGTGTTCCATTCGATTAAAAAAAACCATTCCACCTTTATGAGCGACAGTGTATATAGGCTGTGTTCTCACCATCATTTTCAATTCTTTTTACGTTCTATTTTCTATTACCAGCTCTGGATCTCTGTGCCAATAACCAGTGTCAGAACGGAGGATCTTGCAGTCCATTTCCAGGTTCCAACCCACCATACTTCTGTAATTGTCAGCCTGGGAATACCGGCCAGTTCTGTCAAACAGGTTTGCTTCTTCAAAATTTGACCCAATTAGAGATAGCTTTTGCAAAATTAAACAAATGCGTGAAAAATCAAATAATAAGCGTATCGAATTTAAAGGCATTATTTCCTTCTTTGATCGAAGACTTAAATATCTTGAATATAAAGAATCATCCTTAAACATCATATTTTCAGGAAAATACGTGATATGTATTTCTAAAGCAGTCAAAATACTTTTTTTTTCATAATGAGAAATAAACAACATGGCTCGATCTGTTAAGGCATTTGTCGCACAGAGCCAGAGACCCGACTTTGATTCCAGGCGTTATTTCTGCGAAAAGGAAGGCAGAAAGCAGGAGCAATGAATTTAAAGCTATGCATATAATATCTCCCTCATCCAATCTATGTTTCCACATCATATACGTGTGCGTGTATGTGCGTATGTTTGTGTGTAATAGTTTATTTCATGAATGTAAATTTGCTTGATTTAACCTATACCCTCTTCTCATTCTTTCATAGAAAGAAAATTGCTATTTGTTATAATTCATTTCTATTCACACTTAGCAAATAAATCAGATTAATGTTACAGGTGATAAGACAAATTACGAGGTTGACCTTATGAAGAGGCCGATATAGAAATTTACGCCTTGCTTCATAGCCCTGTGTTATATTGAAATTCTAAAACTTATTAATACAACCTTTCAGTATGATATTTCTAGCTCCATTAGAGTACACCACCAGTGACTGGCAATTTTAAGAAAATGGTACTCGGAATTCAAGTTTTATGTTAAGTTCGCCTCAATGTGAACATTATTATACAACGGAAAAGAAAAATATGTGCCTTACTCTTTAGTGTAGAATACACTTACGAAGAAAAAAAAATATTAATAGATGATACCTCCGTAATAAAAAATTATCAGTTTATATAGGCCTATATGTATATATATATATATATATATATATATTGGCCTTCATCAATCAATAGCTTTTCATGTATATGCAATGTGCTTTTGTTATGATTCACATTTGTATAACTTTTAAATGTTTTATGCGAAGAAAAAAAAAATCAAATTTGAAAGATAGATAAGAGCGGCCAAAACATTGGGATACAGTAGGCAAATGAAAGCACTCAGTATCTTTGTATCCACGATGTTGTGAGTAACCAATTATTTTTCAAATTTGCTTCTTTTTTATGAGGTAATTTTTATTTAAGACAATTTAATGGGTTGGTGTTGCAGTATGGGAGCATGGGTATTTACGAACTTTTACCATATTTCAAATCACTCCTTCCCTATGTATGATCTCCTTTGATGGGTATTGATTTGGTTTATTGGGAATGCATGCAAACTTTGAAATTGTTTTCCCCCTGTACCAGCATGTAATGGGTTACAACTTTCAAGACCGCGTGCCTCATACTTTCTTTTGCATCTGCATGTGTAATCTAGAAAACAGCGTTCCCTCGTGTGATGTGACCTTAGTTCAAGCAATAAGAACCTCAAATGTATTGCCATTTCGCTGTACCCTTCCATCGTGCACATTGTACAAGAATAAGTCAGTGGAGTATTTTTATCGTTAGTCATATGATAAAATGTATTGAGTTCTTGAATGAAATCATGACGATGATGTTGATGGTGACAATGATGATGATGAAGTTAGGGACGATGATTATGACGTACAATTAGTTTAGATCTCTATAAACTTTGTACATTCGACTTCACTGTCTTGAATAGGTGTACTTGATATGTTAACCGAATGCCGATTTTTGGTTCGACTTCGATGTTGTAAATAAACAAGTGTTTGTATAGTCCTTATATTACAGTTGTAGCTATATATACCAGCTAATTACTTCCCATTACAATGTCATGTTTAAAGTGATTAGTACAAATTCATTCACACAAAGCTGAGTAATCAGACTAATGATGATTGTTTGTCCGGAAAAGCATAAATTGTCAGGATTGTTAGTGTATCATTAAACATTTTAAAATTCCTATAATGTAGCTAAGATGAGCATAATATCCAACTTGTAATGTTGTGAAAAACTGGTTAATATCATCCTAAATGATTGTTTACTCAGTGATTCAAAAATGGGTATGATTTTACTATACCGTCCCTGCCACTTCAAACCACTAAATGTGGCGTGAAATAAATGTAGGTCAGTTACTTGAGAAATAATGACCGTGCAGTCCGTTGTTATCTTGCTATAGTTAATAATGTTGAATTCTGTTTGCGTCTATAATGTCAAAATGCCTGTGATATTTACCAAAACGGGATGTCTCATTTGTATCCCTCTGTTTTTTTTCCTTCCGTCAGTTACCAGTTGCAACGTGGACTACTACTTGGAAGAATGCGCCGCGGTCGTGATCACCAGCCCCAACTATCCCGCAAGCTATGACGACAATAAAACCTGCTCCTGGCTGGTCATCTCCAACGAGCTGAACCGACTTCACATCCAGGTCACCGACTTCATGACTGAAGACTCCTATGACAACCTGCATATTGGTGATGGCGCCCTCATCGGGAACCCAGTGTCTCTGTTTGCAGATGGAACCTTGTCCGGATCCGCACAACCTGTGAACTTCACGTCAGCACAGACGACCGTCTGGATGCGATTCGTCACCGACCTGGATAAGAGCGCGAGGGGATTCAGAGCTGTCGTCACTGACCTGTGTGATATTGGTAAATCTATTTTCGCATTAGAATGATTATGGTTAACCGTAAAAGCTGTACTACTAAAATGTGTAAACCAACCCCGAATAACAATAAATGAACATCGGTATAATACAGTCAAAGTAGCAATAGTATATTTTGTTAAATGGAGACGTTGGTCGTCACTCTTGTTAATAGGGACTTTTAGATTTGCACGCCTACATAGTGGAATGCTACGTGTGACATCCTTTTAAGGCAATGTGACGTCCTTTTACGGCACTGCCGGGCACTTCACATTTTCTCCTTGATATTTATTCTATAGATTTCCAATGTGCCAGCAACTCTTGCTTGAATAATGGCGAATGTGTCAATACCAACGACAATCTCCAGTATTTCTGCAGATGTGCTCCCGCTTTCACCGGCGACAATTGCGAGATTGGTAAGTTCATCAGAAGATTCTTTTTTGACTAAAACATTTCTACCATATTAGCTTCTTTACCTTTCTTTCCTGAAATATGTTCAGTCAATCATCATTCGAATAAGATGCTGTTCAATAGAGGATAACAGTTTCATAGAAAGAAAATTGCTATTTTTTATAATTCATTTCTATTCACACTTAGCAAATAAATCAGATTAATGTTACAGGTGATAAGACAAATTACGAGGTTGACCTTATGAAGAGGCCGATATAGAAATTTACGCCTTGCTTCATAGCCCTGTGTTATATTGAAATTCTAAAACTTATTAATACAACCTTTCAGTATGATATTTCTAGCTCCATTAGAGTACACCACCAGTGACTGGCAATTTTAAGAAAATGGTACTCGGAATTCATGTTTTATGTTAAGTTCGCCTCAATGTGAACATTACTATACAACGGAAAAGAAAAATATATGCCTTACTCTTTAGTGTAGAATACACTTACGAAGAAAAAAAATATTAATAAATGATACTTCCGTAATAAAAAATTATCAGTTTATATAGGCCTATATGTATATATATATATATATATATATATATATATATTGGCCTTCATAAATCAATAGCTTTTCATGTATATGCAATGTGCTTTTGTTATGATTCACATTTGTATAACTTTTAAATGTTTTATGCGAAGAAAAAAAAAATCAAATTTGAAAGATAGATAAGAGCGGCCAAAACATTGGGATACAGTAGGCAAATGAATGCACTCAGTATCTTTGTATCCACGATGTTGTGAGTAACCAATTATTTTTCAAATTTGCTTCTTTTTTATGAGGTAATTTTTATTTAAGACAATTTAATGGGTTGGTGTTGCAATATGGGAGCATGGGTATTTACGAACTTTTACCATATTTCAAATCACTCCTTCCCTATGTATGATCTCCTTTGATGGGTATTGATTTGGTTTATCTGGAATGCATGCAAACTTTGAAATTGTTTTCCCCCTGTACCAGCATGTAATGGGTTACAACTTTCAAGACCGCGTGCCTCATACTTTCTTTTGCATCTGCATGTGTAATCTAGAAAACAGCGTTCCCTCGTGTGATGTGACCTTAGTTCAAGCAATAAGAACCTCAAATGTATTGCCATTTCGCTGTACCCTTCCATCGTGCACATTGTACAAGAATAAGTCAGTGGAGTATTTTTATCGTTAGTCATATGATAAAATGTATTGAGTTCTTGAATGAAATCATGACGATGATGTTGATGGTGACAATGATGATGATGAAGTTAGGGACGATGATTATGACGTACAATTAGTTTAGATCTCTATAAACTTTGTACATTTGACTTCACTGTCTTGAATAGGTGTACTTGATATGTTAACCGAATGCCGATTTTTGGTTCGACTTCGATGTTGTAAATAAACAAGTGTTTGTATAGTCCTTATATTACAGTTGTAGCTATATATACCAGCTAATTACTTCCCATTACAATGTCATGTTTAAAGTGATTAGTTCAAATTCATTCACACAAAGCTGAGAAATCAGACTAATGATGATTGTTTGTCCGGAAAAGCATAAATTGTCAGGATTGTTAGTTTATTGTATCTCTTCATTTTCTGCGGAACACATCGATGAGTAGTGTTTATCCCTATTACACAGTTAACATTTGTTATTTGCAATGTATTTGACGAGTTGTTCTGTGGTATTTGTTTACTGAGGTTTTCTCCCATTCGAATCACTCGTCTTTGTTGGTCAATGTCGTGTCGTAACATCGGTGTAACGTTCCGTAGCAGATTAGGTAACAACTATACGATTATACAACAGACACCATTGTTTAGCCATCAAATAAATAAATTATGTTTGTATGGTTGATTAGTTTTTTATTACTAGCCTTCCATCAGTGAATTTAATTGTATATTAACATCCCTGTTTAATATGTATTTTCCCATTATTGTAAGTAAATAATGCATTCAAAGAACGTATTTTCAAATATGCTCTATTATTTCCCCCTAACAGTTATCAAACTTTCAATTCCGAATCACAATTGGAATGTCATAAAAAGAATCAGATACAAAATATATGTTACTTTCTTAATGTACAGGGTTAGAAATCCATCATGTACTTAGAGATCATTTCATTTAGAGTGAAATTCATCACTTAAAAAGGAATCAGTGAAATTAACTCTTAGAAGAGTTATTCGACCAGTCCTTTGGAGTGTATTAAACTCCAACGGAATTGCTTCCTTATATGGCACCTAAATAAAAAGATTTCCATACCTCTGCATTAAGGGATTAGACCTACAACTGGAATGAGATTTTTTTAAATATATAAATGATTTTGTGTATGCTTGTTTTTGTAGCTGTACCGACACCATGTGATAGCGACCCCTGTCTCAATGGAGGTAGCTGCTTCTTTGACCTTGCCACTGATAGTTTCGTTTGTGATTGCCCCGCTGGTTGGGAGGGCACCAACTGCGAAGAAGGTATGATAGTAATGATGATGATGTTATGATGGTGATGGGGATGATGAGATGATAAATAGTGATGATGTTTTTAACGATGATGATGATGATGTGATGATGATGGTGATGGTGATGATGATGATTGTGATGATGATGAGATAATGGTGATGATATAATGGTGATGATGAAGATGATGATGGTGACGATGATGATGAATTGATGATAGTGATGATGATGATGATGATGATGACGATAATGATGATGAATTGATGATAATGGTGGTGATGATAGTGATGATGGTGATGATGATAATGATGTGGTTGATGGTGATGATGATGATGATGATTGTGATGACGATGAGATAATGGTGATGATGAAGATGATGATGGTGACGGGGATGGTAATTTTGGTGATGATGAAAAACATACTTAGAAAAATAATTATTTTGAAAATAACGATAACGATGTTGAATGACGAAGTTAGGCCAGTTAATTATAACAAATATGATGTAATGATAATGCAATGATTACCGCAAAATGATGAATAAGATGACGATAATGATGTTGATGATCATGATGATCGTCATCATGATGGTGATGATGGGGGTTACCAAAATGTTAATTTTTATGCTGATAATTTCTACGATACAATGATGACAGTTATGATATTGGATGGTGATGATGATGATAATGTAGGTTATAACAGACTTCTTGACCGTTGTAGTGGGTTGGGATGACATTTGTATCATTAATTCATGCATTATATTTGTACCAGCTCTTCACTGATTAGCCACTTCTTTTTCTCCTTTTTGTTTTGTTTTGCAATATTTCAGAATTCATTATCATGTGCCCTCCGGCTCACTGCTTGCACGGTGGACTGTGTAATTTTGATGCTAACGACCAGCCACTGTGCAGCTGTTCAGAGGGATATATCGGTGACCGATGTGAAATAGGTATAATATGGATGCTTCTTTAATCTCTGATAATATATATCGAGGGTTCAGTGACATAAAGACGTAACTCCATGTTTTGCCAAAATGAGTATTTTATATCAAAATGTTCAGAAAATGTGGGCTTTCCAGGAAACACAAAGACTTAACTCTACCCAACACCTTATTGAAGTCAATGGCTAGTGAAACATAGACATAACTCCTTCAGGCCCAAGTGCTCAGTGACAAATAAACCACTTTTTCTAAAAAAAAAAAATTGCCAAAATGGAGTTACGTCTTTGTGAAACTGACCCATCGATATATACTTAGTGTCTTCGCATAGGCCTACTGAGGACCAGGCCTACGGAATCTCGATTAGATCATTACATTACCCAATCGCGAAATAGTTAACAACTTTCTAGATACTTACCCAGCAGTTAGTTGACACTCACAAAGTCAAAGAATATGACGAACAATTTTTAGATTTTTTAAATATGGATTCTAAGGCCAAAAATAGACAGGAATTCCAAGATTTTATGGGGTTAGATTCTCTCAGCTACCCCATCGCTAAGATAAACAGTTGTTACATTTTTTAATATGACAGTTTGGTAATCTGAATTTAAGGATAATGAGATATAAATATCTTTATTACAGCCCAATGCCCCAATGACTACTGTGGGGTGAATAGCATTCAGTGTTTCGTCGTCGACTTTCGTGAATACTCGTGTCAGTGCATGGAAGGTTACACTGGATCGCAGTGTGAAACAAGTATGTACCACACCTATTTCACTATTTCTGTTACTTCAATCATTCTGTCTGTCTCTTTCTCTCTCTTTCTCCCCATCCCCTTTCTCTCTCTCTCTCTCTCTCTCTCTCTCTCTCACTCGCTCCTTCTCCTTCATTCTCTCTCTCTCTCTTTATTTCTCTCTCTCTTCCTCCCTCATTCTCTTTCTCTTTCTTTCTCTCTCTTCAATAATTTATTTAATGTCTCTAATCCACCGTTCTCGTTAGTTATCCTTAATCCTCTTTCGACAGCTCAATTTCATGTTCAAAACCCTTAACAGTATCTTCTGTGTCTACAAGTACCCGAAACAATTATCTATCTAGCTTGGTGATTTTTTTTTCATCTATCCTGTCAACATGACTGCAAAATTTGAATACAAGCACGGTCTTTAATGAAATTTGTTGACAAACTACAAATATATTTTTGATTTTTTTTGTAGGGGGGGGGGGGACTTGTTAGGAATATTTATTTTACCCCAATTCAGTGCTTTTTGCAAAGGATCATCAATTCAACTCAATTTAAATTAAATTTTATTCAATTTAAATTGTATTGATTTAAATCCGATTAAATAGGATCATTTATATGTTTTTATTGTTATAACATTGAATAACAACTTTCAAAATTATAGTGTAACATAAAATTTGGAGTGGACTTTAAAAATTATTATTATTATTATTATTATTATTAACATAGATAATTGAGTGTAAGAGTAAAAATGACAATAACCAGGAATGACAACAAATTAACGTACTATTAGCTCGACCCTATTCCAAATCCAAACTCATGGGAGACAGTGAGCATGGAATGACAATAAATCATGCTCTTTACAATACTAAGGTTCATCGTGAATACATTTTCCAATACCCTCTTAAAAGGGGCCTCTAAATCTATTTTATTTTCTATTATTATTTAGACATTGTATTTTGTTCATTTTCTTTATTATAGCAACAAACGCATGTGCCTCAATGCCTTGTTTGTATGGTGGAAGTTGTATTATTGGATTAGATTCCTTTAGCTGCATGTGCCAGAGTGGGTTTACTGGATCAATGTGTGAAGAAGGTACACTGTTTTTCTAAAAATTACATTTTTGGGCAGTTAAATCGCATGAGGAATATAGAAAATTGCGGGGGTAGGGAGGGGGTCAGGATCACTAAACGATCCTTTTGGCAATGCAGCCATGTGAAATGAAGTGGAGAACTCTCCCTTTTTTAATAGCTTGTATATCCACATTTCATCGCAGCCGGGTTTTTTTTCTCACTCCTAATGATGGAACAGACATATTTCCGCGAAAGGACATGTATATATATGTTCCATAAAAAGTTTGAGTCCCTGTATCACCAGTAATGGGATTTTAAAAAATGCATAACATCTGCTGTTCGAATTTACTTACTTTTAATTCTTGGTTTTACTTCTACTCTCTAGGAAGGGTATCTTCGTATTTAAACGTTGTCTGCTTCGATCGGCTCATAGTATACGTCAAAAAGTTATTGCACGATTGGATTGCATAATTATGTAGTTAATTTCGCCTTTATCTGTGTCTTCACCTAAATAGTGGGGATATCAGTAATGTATTACATAATTATATTGAATTCTTCATCTATGTAAACCCTTAGTGATAATTTAACAGATAACTTATCCAAAGTTAAAAATGTTAAACTGCCTAGTACAAACTTGATTATTGCTATACTAAAATGGAGTTATTTAATTGGTAGAAAATTATGTGTTGCTTTTGAAAGGTATATATTGCTTTTTTTACATCTCTCGGAGCATAAAAATCATACGCAAAATAGTCTTTTCCTTACCAAATATAAAGCACTTTCTGTTTCTTTTAGCAATAAACGAATGTACTTCGAACCCTTGTCTCAACGGAGGAACGTGTATTGACGGACGAGCTTTATTTATCTGTTTGTGTTCAAATGAGTATAACGGAACTAGGTGTGAAGGGTTAGGTAAGTCTAAATATCCATATAGGCCTACAGCTTATAATTATAGCTCTTGCGGAGAGAGGAAATACATTGTGGAAGGAAACGAGTCTCTATTTGCAGCAAAGTCTAATGAAAGTACTCCATTTCAACTCCCCCCCCCCCCCTATTTTGTTTTATTATTGGAAAAGGTCAAAGAAAAAAGTCTGTCTCGGCAATCAAACAAGGGGTCTCTGAACCCCCTTGATCCACTAAAGGAGAACATCGTCCCCATCTCTCTATTAAAAATAAAATATTAATCACTATACACGCCGGGGAGGGATCCAGGATTCTAAGCTAAAAAATAAAATTATTCAATTCCCAGTGCCTTTTGGGGTCTGAAATTTTGAGGCAAATTTGTTAATGAGTACTTAAGATATTCCAGAGAAGATACTACCCTGATCACACACTCTACTAATCATCTTATCTTTTACAGGGCAGAGCAACCCTCCTACCACAACTAAATCACCAACCGTGGCAACTGAAAAAGTTATCGCATGAATGGACAGCGCATTTAGTTCATTTTGCCTTTATCTGTATTCTCGCTTAAATATTGGGGGTATCAGCAATGTATAACATATTATATTGAATGAGTCATACATGTAGACCCCTAGTAATAATTCAACAGATAACTTATAAGCATTAAAAGCACTTTCTGTTTCTTTCAGCAATAAACGAATGTACTTCGAACCCTTGTCTCAACGGAGGAACGTGTATTGATGGATCAGCATCATTCATCTGTTTGTGTTCAAGTGGGTTTATCGGAACTAGGTGTGAAGAATTAGGTAAGTATAAATATCCATATAGGCCTACAGCTTTATACTTAAGGCTTTAGTGGAGAGTAGAAATACATTGCGAAAGGAAATGAGAGAGTATTTGCAGCGCAGTATAATGAAAGTTCCCCATTTCAGCCTCTTCCCCTTTTTTGTTATTATTGGCAAAGGTCAAAGAAAAAGATCTACCTTGATAATCGAACAAGGGGTCTCTGAACCCCATGATCCACAAATGGAAAACATCGTCCCTACCCCTCTATTCAAAAGAAAAATGTATCATTATACACGCCGGGAGATATCCAGGATTCCAAGCTAAAAAATAAAATTATTCAATTCCCAGTGCCTTTTGGGGTCTAAAATTTTGAGGCAAAAGATTTTCCAGAGAAGATACTACCCTGATTACACACTCTACTAATCATCTCCCTCCTATCGCAACTAAATCACTAACCGTGGCAACTGAGACTAATTCATCGCGTCCTGAGGGGGATATATCTGGGATTACTTTAGGTAGATTACATCTCCCCTCGTTCTAGCCTCTCTCTCTCTCTTTTCTCTATTTTATTTAATGAACGACAAGTTGTAGATCTACATTGAAATTAAAATTTACTAACTGCAGTGCCCTGTTTTGGTCGTTTATTTTTTGTTTGTTTGTTAACTCAGTCTAGAGAATGTGTATATTCCTAATATTTTTTTTTTAAATTATGAAACGTATTGCCCTTCAAGAGGGATTGTTCTTCTTCTTCTCCTCCTCCTTTTCCTCCTACTCTCTTTCTGTTTATTCTTCTTGTCCTGCATCTCCTACTCCTCATCGTTCTTCTTCTTCTTCTTCTACTACTGTAAAAATAACAGATAAACATATAAATCATAACATATAAAAGTCGAACTATTAATTAAAATGAAGTAGGCTCAAAGGAATTTTTTGAAAGTGGCAAGACAGGTTGATTCTCTGATCGAAAGGGAATATTAATTTGTCAATGTTTTGAAATTAGCAGCCACTCTGTTAAACGTTTTTCTCATTCACTTTACCCTGGAGTGTGGCAAATGAAAGGCTTATATAGAAGCAACAATTTTCATTCTGAGTCCCTTTCCTCCCCGGCTTGCTCTGTGACCGCTGCTGCCCCTCCCCCCTGCCCCTCCCCCCCCCCCCTCCCCTAGCTCCCCCATCTTCACTACGCCATTTACTTAAGTGTACCTTAATATCGGGGTATGCTCTTCTGATACGACATCAGATTTATGTATACTGCCATCTGCTGCTCACAAAATCCCGATGTTCATGTCGACAGCCATGTCCTATATAAAATGCACAACACCAACTGATGATGCGTTGGGTGCATGTTATTCTATTGTTTAAAAAAATACCCCCCAAAATATGCTTTTGGGGGCAGGACAATGACTTCACTACGTACTGCATATAGTAAATTAAACTCAAACTTTCAGATTATCTTTAATTGTACATCAAGCATTGACGTCACTACCTAATTAGCACCATTTTCTGAACAATGTTAAGGCCGGCTCACACAGTGGCGGCA